ATCACATTAAGAGCACATGATTCAGGGCCTCCCTGGTGGTGCAGGCGGTTGTCTGCAGCTTCTTCAGTGCCGGTTCGAACCCTGCCAGCCACGGAGATACCCACATGGCGGGGCAGACCTCTCCTGTCTCACCCATTGCTCCCCTCAGCAGTGTATTTTGTCAGTCTGCCTGTTCTGTTCTCTGCTCTGTCTCTGGTGAATCTTCTTACCCTCCCGTACATCTGGCCTGTACCCCAGTTCTTGTATAAAAATAAATAAATCTTTAAAAAAAAAAAAAAGAGTACATGATTCATACCCTAGGACAAAAGAAATATGTATCTGTGCACACTTCTAAAATCACAAGTTCAGGCATGGCCAGCAGAGATTTGAACTCATTTAGTTGACTCTAGCACCCAGGGGCTCAACTAGGATGCCTCCAGGAACATGCTTCTGAAATCACCAAGTGCTTTAATGAAGGCAAGTAGGGAGGACTTGTGGAACAGCTCATTGAGAGGCCTGACTGCACCCTGTGGGGCCATGTGGCTGCATGCTGACTCAGATTGGTGGTGGAGAAGGGGGGCTACTTCTGAATCACCAACACCACATCCTGCCCCTCCCTCTTTTTTTTTCCTCTGGAAGCTGCCCATCAATCTTCTTGCTGAGATCTCCACCCAAGAATGGGACTCAGGTATTTACAACAAATGTCTGTGAACCCAAGTTCCATTTTCCAGGAACATTTGGCTCTTGTTCTTTAAGTGGCATCTATGTGTGAAGTTGACTATGACTAAGTGTGAAACTGATAGTCTGTGCATAAAGACTCAATACTTCATACTTGGGTCACTTATTTATTTTTCACTGTGTTTTTGTGGGCAAAGCTAATACCTAACATTGTATATATTAATACTTTTTTCATAGCTTATCTAAAGTGAAAGAAAATTCTTAATCTAAAAAAATTCCAGGAGATAAATACTTGGAGGAAATGTGTTCTTTTCTGAGAATTGTGTTATAGACACATATTCATTATAGCCAAAGACTAAGCAGGCATTTTATCCTGTTCTGATTCATCTGAGAAAAACTTGTGGTAGGCAATTTAAAATCCTCTTCCCTTTTACTTTCAAAGAGTAAGAGGAAAGGCCATTTTTTTTTATAAAGGCAATTTAGTAAAATTAGTATTTGTTGGGACTTTGTTTTAGTATTATTTTGTTTGGGGGTTTTTTGGTTTCCATTGAAGACAGTAGTGGGGGGTGTTGCATTAGAAGAATGAGGTAACCAGTATATGGAGAAATTTGAAAGTTCAGATTAAAGAATCTGAACTTTATTCAGTAGGCAGGGAATAATTCCAAAGACTTCTTTATCTGATTTATTTTTATTATTTACATATATTTTACATCATTGTTCATTTTTGTACAATGCATGCTTTCTCCTCTTAGGTATAGTACCCATAAAATTCTCACCACCAGTTCACCCATGCACCATCACCATTAGACTTTTTTATCAGATTTATTTTTAATAATAAAGTCAAATAAAACAAATAGAAAAGTGTGGAAATTATATGTATTTAATTTACAAAATGATAAAGCAAATTTTGTTCAATCACATTGTATAATGGCTGTTGCTAATACTTTGGTAGTAATCATGCAACTTACAAAAGTATCAAGTCAACGCATACACCTTAAACGTACACAATGTTATATGTAAATGATATTCAATAAAGATAGGCGTAAAAAAAGAACTAAAAGACAACCAGCGCCTCAGAAAATCCCCTAGTGGATTTTTTTTTTAAAATGAAGAGAATTAGCACAACACTCAAATGTTCAGTTTAACATGTCATCATCATAAACGTCAAAAAGTCTTATGACTGACAGCAACCTAGAATTTTTCTTCCCAATCACTGCTCTCTTCCTCTCCAGCTAAATAATCAGTACTCTAACAATTGGAACTGTCATTTATACCCTTGCTTTTCTTTATGGTTTAGCTACCTAATACACTCTTATTTAAGATAGTTTGGGTTTGCCTGGTTTTTAAACTTTAATTGGGATCTTTATTTATGTTTTCCTTCATTTTTGTTGATTTTGTACAACCATCTTTAAAAAAAAAAGATTTATTTATTTATTTATACAAGCACTGGGTACAGTCAGAAGCACAGGAGGGTGAGAGAATTCACCAGAGACAGAGTGGGGAACAGAACAGGCAGATTGACTGAAATACACTTTTGAGGGGAGCAGTGGACAAGTCAGGAGAGGTCTGCTGCACCATGTGGGTTGCTCCCTGGCCAGGGATTGAGCTCATGCTGCAGTGGCTTCGGATTGCTTCGTAGGTTGCATCTTAACCTCTTGCGCCACCAGGGAGGCTCCATTTATTGTAAATATTCTATTGAAAAAATATGTCATTATTTACCCATGTTGTAGTTGTCAGTCATTTGAGTTGTCTCTAGTCTGGGGGTGTGTGTGTGTGTGTGTGCATGAATGTGTGCATGTATAAGAGAAAAGTTGGAAGATCACCTGGTTATCATGTGCAAGTTGAACTCAGGGAGAGAAGAAGTAAGGAAACTCAATCATGAAAGATTAAACATTGGAACTTGGTGATTGACAAAAGGAATAGGAGAAGATAGATTCCTAGCACAATACACCCAGTGAAAGGCAAACTTATTTAAAAGTTTCAAGGACACTGCTAAATTTACTTTTTCTGAAGACTTTATCTATGTCTACTCTCAATAATGTATTTGTGTATGAATGAAGATTTCATTCATTTGCATTTTGCATTTGCATTTTGCCAATTTTTGATATCCGTCTTTTAAGTTTTTACCAAAATTATCATGAAAAAAATTGCATTTGATTTAAGTTTAATTTTCTTAATTAATGAGTTTGATCATTTTCTTATGTTTTACATCAGACTGTTGTGTTTTTGTGTATAAATTGCTTATTCATATCCATTACCCATTTTTCTACCTGCTATGTCTTCTCTTATGTTTTGTTGATTTGGGGAACAACTTAATAAATCTTAAATATTACTTGTACTTTTTATTACCTATATATTTCATATTACCTGTCCACAGTGTCTTTTGCCATACATACATTTTTTTTAAGATTTATTTATTTATTTATACAAGCACTGGGTATAGTCAGAAGCGCAGGAGGGTGAGAGAATTCACCAGAGTCAGAACGGGGAACAGAACAGACAGACTGACGAAATACACTGCTGAGGGGAGCAGCGGGCGGCAGGAGAGGTCTGCGTGCCATGTGGGACCCTCGCCGGCTGCCGGCGCTGCAGAGGCTGCGGGCAGCTTCACAGCTCAGCGCTCAACCGCTGCGCCACCAGGGGAGGCCCCCGTAAATACATTTTTAATTTATATATATGATGATGTTTTTAATGTACTAACTTGACTCAACTATAATATTCAGATATTCAGTCAAATATGAATCCTGACTTTACTGTATTATGCAGATGTAATTAAATCCCTGTCAGTTGGCTTTAAGTAAAGGAGTCTGTCCCAGATAATCACATGAGCCTGATTCAATCAGTTGAAAACATTTAAAAGTAGAACAGAGTCTTTTGCCAAAAAGGAAAGGTATAATTCCAACCTGCCTGTGACATTCCTGAAGATCCATCCTACTGTTTCAGACTTGCTTAATCATATAATACATATGTCACATTTTATTCATGTTTTTATTTCCCCTATTAGTTTTGATTCTGAGGGTGAACCCCGACTGATATAACATTTTTACATAGTTAATCTACCAAACTGATTTATAGCATCCAGTTTTCATGTCTGTCTAAGTCAATTTCAGACAAAAATGTATCATATTCATGAAGCATTCGCAGTAGTGACTCAAATCTAAAACTCCCTGCCTCCAGAGATACCCATTGTCAGTACATTGGAGTTATACTTACTCAGCTTAATTTTTATGTAAAAACTAATAGTTCATGTATGTGTGTGTGTAAAAGTCTACAAAATAAGCCAGAAGAATACACTCCAATTTAATGACCCTATAGATGGGGAGGAGGTGGTAGAGAGGAGTGAAAGGGGATTTTCGGGACTTTCATACTTTTAATCTTCTAACTCTTATACAATGAGAATTTATGCAAATTTAATTTGGATGATTTTTCTCCCATCTTAACTGCTTGCAAGTGATATTAAGTACATAGGGTGCTATTTTTAAAGGCAAAAAAAAGTTATAAAAATTGTCAGCAGTGACTCTAGGATATAAAAGTTGGGTGGCAAGAAAATAATGACTCCATTGAGATAAATTAAGATGGTTTATTACAGGCATTACAAACCCCAAGGACTTTAGGGAGCTGGCTTAAACGCAAAATAGTAGGAATAGTACTGATAGTAGGAAGGTTGAGTTTGATGTCTACCTATAGAGCTTGGCCTAATTTTCAAAAGCCTACGGACCAAATAATACATACCTGCAAGCCAAATTTGACTGTAAGTGTATCACCTTTTCAACTCTATTTTTTTTAAAAAAAGGTGAAGTTGAGGTTGCTTTTAAACCAAGAATGATAGAAGCTGAGCCTTAAGGTATCTTAAAAATCATGAAACTTAAAACTCTAGTAAAAACAGGATGTGTTCTGTTTGAAAGGTATATTACAGATACTTTCATTTTGTGTTTAAGAATTTAATCCCATTATGATTCAGTTTAAATTGAAGTGCTATGTACATTATAAAGTCCTCTTCGCCTATCTTCAGATAAATGGGAAAAGAAGAGATCAATTTCTTACATTTCCTAACGAAAACTTAGAGCCCTATAAACTGAAAAGTGGTGGGTAGTGGATTTGACCATGTGATTGTCAATTGAAGAGACCTTTAGAAACCACATACTTAATATCAAATATTAAAGTGAATTTTCGTTTAAATGGAAGATAGCAACATAACCAAGATGCAGTACTGAACTAAAACTTGTCAAGATGAAAAAGCCTGAGTTGAGCAGGTATAAGAATGGATGACAACCCTGGAATGCAAGATTGGTTTAAGAGCCAAACAGCTATTAACATAATCCATCTTTTTTTTTTTTTTCCAGCTTAAGTAATAAAAATTTATTGAGAATTCCTGGGATGGTTATTGCCTCCCAACTTTGAGGGAGGAACCAACACTATAGGAAATCATCTAGAAATCACACACTGTCCCAACAACCTTGGCCACACAGGGAGGAGGAAAGTTGTTCCCCTGAAAATGGGTCAGTCTTCATTCATCCAAGGCCCAGGAGGTCAGGTGCAGAGGGGACCATCACATGATAAAGGGGAATGGGGGAGGGAGCTGGCTCCTCAAAAACCAGGGGAGAAACAAATCCACTTGCTCTCTGGGGGTGGAGATCTTGGTCACCCGGGCTCATTTCTTACCCTTGATGAGGCTGTCACCTCCCCGAGTGAAGCTTTCATCCTGCAGGTTGAGCACAAGGTTGTCAGCGGTGAGATAGATCCGGTTCTGGGAGGTGGCGATCATCTTGGAGATGTTCTGGGCCGCGCGGATCTTACGCAGTTTGATGTAACCAGGGTTCTTGCTCAATGCTTCTCCCAGCATTTTGGCAGCCTCAGCCTCACCCTCGACCTGCACAATCTTCTGCCGCTGCTCCTGCTTTGCTTTTTCCACCAAGAATTGGGCCCGCTGGGCCTCCTGCTGGGCCACTTGTTTGGCTTCCACAGCAGCTGTGTACTCCCGGCTGAAGCTCAGCTCTGTGATGGCCACATCATCCAGAATGAGGCTGAAGTCCTTGGCTCGCTCTGTCAGTTCCCTTCGGATCAACAGGGATACCTGGGCTCGCTGGGTGATCAACTGGGAGGCATTGAATTTGGCCACCACACTCTTGAGCACCTCGTTGACAATGGATGGCAATACTCGCTCTTCGTAGTCTAGCCCTAGACGCTGGTACATACTGGGAAGCTCCATAGCATTGGGTCGAGAGAGCACACGCAGGGAGATGTTCACCATCTGCAAGTCTTTGGAGCCTGTGGGGGAAGAAATTTTTCGGGGTCTGGCCCGAATGTCATAGATGATAGGGTACTGGAACCACGGGATCCTGAAGTGAAGGCCCTCGGCCAGGATGGTGTCCTGCTGCACTCCACCGATCCGATTAAAGAAAATGGCTCTGTGCCCGCTTTCCACGGTGAATACGGACTCGCGCACGCCGTAGGCCACGGCCCCGGCACCCAGCAGCAGCTTCAGCGCCGTGCCCATGCCCCGGGGCCCAGAGGGCAGCCGTCCTGCTAAGTCCTTCAAGTTCTGGGCCATGTCCGATCTTGGGGCCGGCGGCACCCGTAGTCAGAAGCCGGTGCCGGCCCGCCTCTACCCCACTCCAGTTTCGGGATCACACCCTTCCCACGAGGGTCCGGGGCCGGAGCGCCTGCGGGAGAAAGGGCACCAGAAGTGCGCTCCCTTCTAAACCGCCCACTCAACATAATCCATCTTTAATAAAAGACAAAAATCACATGATCTTCTCAATAGATCCAGAAAAAGAATTTCACACAATCCAACACCCTCCATGATTAAAAAAAACCTAAAAATTTAGGAGAAGGGAACTTCTTCAACCTAATAAAGTACAGCTACAGCTATAACCAACCCACAGCTAATATTATACTTACTGGTCAAAGACTGAAATTTCTCCTAAGATCAGGAACAAAACAGGGATGTGTATTCTCACTTTTATTTATTTATTTATTTTTAATTTTTAAGCATTCTCATTTATTTTATTTACAATGTAGAATTGTGAAAAAAATTATCTCACTTGTGAAAAAAGTGTGGTGTTGTCACCACACTTTCCTACCACCAAAGTGCCCGCAGTCCACCACACTCCACCCTGCTCTCCTTATTTAACATTGTATCGGTTGTTCTAGAGGAGCCAATAAGGAGGGGAGAAATGAAATTAAAAGACATGCAGATATACACATGACCTGATCTTGTATACCAAAGATCCTAAGGAATCTTCTAAAAATGATTAAAACTGATGAATGAGTTCAGCAAAGCTACAGGATAAAAAATTAATACGCAAAAATCAATTGTGTTTCTATGTACTTGCAATGAATAATCTGAAAGGAATTTAAGAAATTTCATCAGCCACAACATCAAAAAGCACAACCTTATTAGAAATAAATTTATCAAAAAAAATGCAAAACTTACAGTCTGGAAACTATGAAACATTATTTCAAGAAATTAATAACAACCTAAGTAAATGGAAAGATGTCTCATTTGCCTGGATTGGATATCATGGATACACCCATGTTCATTGGCATTACTCCCCAAATCTATTTACAGATTCAACTCAGTCCCTATCAAATTCCCAACTGGCTTCTTTGCAGAAATTTACAAGCTCATCCTGTAATTCACATGGAAATCCTAAGGACACAGAATAATTTCTTCTGTCAGTTTAGTGAGTATAGGGAAAAACCACAATAACAGAAAAAAAAAACTTTTTTAGGAAAAAATAAGAAACTATCCCCTTACAGAAGAGAGTTTCTTGCTTTTCCATCCTTAACTTCATTGCTTATGTCCTACAGAAAAACAGGCTTTCTTACCTCCTATGCCTGGTTACACTCCAAATTAGCCAAATATATGTACTACTTATATTTGTAGGTTTCCAATGTTTTTGTGTGACTAACAGTGTTATTTAGATTTTGTTAAAACTATGCTGTTTGTTAACCATGGGTTTAATTTAACTCCTCTCTAGTTTCTTAACATTTGGTTCTTGCTTTAATTCCTTTAAATAAAATGTTTCAGTGGCCCCTCCCAGAGGATTGACTTTGGTATACTAAACAAACAAACAAAACACACTGCAAATTGCTGAATGCAAGATGAACTTTGAGGTATTCAGAGGTATTTGGAAGTGCTTTTTCCAATGTAATTTGGCTGCAAAAGGGAAGCAGGACAATCTTGGGCTTAAATTAGTACTGAAAGTTTACAGGCGGCGTACTAGTAGCATATAATAATTGTTTCACTGGAGGCCAACTGAGTCATTGGTTTTATATGACCAATATCCTAATGGGCACAAAAGCAGAATGTTATTTATTTTCATATAAAAGGTTAATTGCACATGACAGCCTAAGAATTAAGCAGAGAATGGGGTGGAGATCATCCAATTAGGGATCAGCAAGCCAGTGACCCCACCTCCAGCAGCTCTGTCCCCTCCCGATCCCCCTAACTCCAGTCATAAACACTAGCTAGTACTAGTCTAACCACTTCCCCAGAGTCCTTGTGTGCCAAGAGCCTTGAAATCAGAGCCTCTCCCTGGGGTCCAGAGCCTCTAACAGAATAAATCCAGACCCAGAATATAGTCCATGCTGGCTACCTCTTTTCAAAGAGGCCAGCAGTAGACTCTTCTCCTGAGTCCATGGTTTCTTAGGGGCTTCCCTGGTGGCGCAGCGGTTGAGCGCTGGGTTGTGAAGCTGCCCTGGCCTCTGTGGCCCCGGTTCGATCCCCGGCTGCTCCCCAGCCACCAGAGGAGGGTCCCACATGGCGCACAGACCTCTCCTGCTGCCTGCTGCTCCCCTCAGCAGTGTACTTCAGTCCTTCTGCCTGCTCTGCTCCCCGCTCTGGCTCTGGTGAATTCTCTCACCCTCCTGTGCTTCTGACTATACCCAGTGCATATATAAACAAACAAACAAATAAATAAATAAATAAAACATGCCTCTATTAAAAAAAAAAAAAAAAAAGGAATGTGGTCAGTCCACACCTTGGGGACTCCTTTCAAAAAGTGTTCATCATGTGCTGCTACTATTTCCAAAGGCTGTGGAAAGTTCAGGAAGTTGCCTAGAAGGACCAATCCTGAGAACCTGTCAACCAAGGTCAGTAAAACACTTCTCGAAGGATTTCAGACAACCTCTGTCCAGTAGTCATTTTTATGCAAGTTTATAGTTTCTATGCAACAGAAAGTTGAACTTTGGTAGATCATGCTGACTATAAGGAGCCCAATAGAAATCACATAGGAGAATGGCCACGGGTTAGAGCTCTGTACCCAACTGTATGATCCCTGTGCCAAGTACCTTTATCCACAAAATGGTGATAATAATAGATGCATTATAAGTGGTTTTGTGGAATTAATGATTTAATATTTCTAAAAGTATAATAGTGCCAGAAATATAGTAAACACCACAGAATTATCTATTGTTACTATTTTTAGCATTGTCTACAGACTGAGGTACCTAAAAATCAAATTAAAAAACAGATGAAATTGGGCCTCCCTGGTGGCGCAAGGGGTTAAGCACTGCACTATGAAGCAATCTGCAACCTCTGCAGCGCGAGTTTGATCCCCCGGCTGGCCAGGGAGCTGCCCACCTGGCACAGCAGGCCTCTCCTGATTTGCCCGCTGCTCCCCTCAGCAGTGTATTTCAGTCACTCTGCCTCTTCTGTTCCCCACTCTGTTGCTGGTGAATCCTCTCACTCCCCGCATCTCTGGCCTGTATTGTACCCCAGCTCTTGTATGCATAAATAAATAAATCTTTAAAAAATAAACAAATGAAATTACACTTACATAAACTTCAGCTTTGATTAATTTCCTTATATAGCTTACTATACCATTACAGCATAAGAACAGATTTGATTATTGCTCAAGAGCAACTATTCAAATGCAGGACTGTTTTAGAAGTTGTTAATTGTGCCAGAAATTATTTTTTCCTGCAGAAAAACAAAATTTTTCATCCACTAAAGAAAATGAAAGTGAAGTTTGACTCCAGAACTTCTCAGTCTTTTGTGAGAGATTTGGTATGGAAAGCTTGCCATGTATAATTGAATGCAGAATCCTTTGTTTTTAGAGTGTGGGTACATTACCTACCTCCCTCAACTGTTTCCCAAAGTGAATGCTAGTAGATGTTAGTTGGCAATTGACAGAAAGATTACTATGTCAAGTAATTAAGTCCTGCCTTCCTAATTCCTAATCCGCATAGCAAATTGTATCACACTGAAGAAAATATTCATAAGTAGAAGCCAATGAGCAGTATCCAAATTTGGAGATTTCAAAGACCAGTAAAATGAATAGGTTGCCACTATTTTATCTTGCCAAAAGAGTATTAAAATAGTCACTTATTTTTTTTTAAATAATAAATTTTATTTTTATATTCCCCATACAATTGCAACCCCCCCATTCTGACCCCAATCTCTCCCCTCCCACCCCCCACCCCCCAAAAAATGTCTCTGGTTCATAGTTTTTTGTTGATTTTGATTTTCACTTTCTTATAGTTATTCATTTTCCTGGTCCCTTATTTAAATTTTCTAGATTCCTGCTATGAGTGAGACCATCTGGTATTTTTCTTTTTCTTTCTGGCTTATTTCGCTGAGCATGATCCCTTCCAGCACCATCCATGTTGCTGCAAATTGCATGTGTTTATCTTTTTTGAATGCTGAGTAATATTCCATGGTATATATGTACCACATCTTCTTGATCCAGTCATCTATTTTTGGGCATTTGGGCTGTTTCCAAAGCTTAGCTATTGTAAATAGAGCTGCTATAAACATAGGGGTGCAGGTGTTCTTTGGAATTGATGTTTCTGTGTCCTTTGGGTAAATACCTAGGAGTGGAATTGCTGGATCATATGGAAGCTCTATGTTTAGTAGGTCCAGAAATCTCCACACAGCTCTCCACAGAGAACCCCAAAAACTCCACAGAAAAACTAATTCAACTCATCAATCAGTTCAGTAAAGTGGCAGGATACAAAATCAACACACAAAAGTCAGTAGCCTTCCTATACACAAACAATAAATCTGAAGAAGAAGAAATAAAAAACCATCCCTTTTATTATCGAAACAAAAAAAAATCAAATATTTGGGAATAAATCTAACAAAAGAGGTAAAGGACCTATACAAAGAAAACTATAAAACACTGTTAAAAGAAATAGAAGAAGACACAAAGAAATGGAAAGACATCCCCTGCTCATGGATTGGAAGAATAAACATTATTAAAATGGCCATCCTACCAAAAGCAATATACAGATTCAATGCTATTCCAATCAAAATGTCAATGTCATTCTTCAAAGAAATAGAACAATTATTGATGAAATTCATATGGAATCACAAAAAAACCCGAATAGCCAAAGCTCTCCTGAAAAAAAAAAGAAGGGAATGGAGGCATCACACTCCCAGACTTCAAACTATACTACAAAGCCATAATCATCAAAACTGCATGGTATTGGAACAAGAACAGACATAAAATAGTCACTTATTTTTAAGGCCCTTGAAATTCTCAGGATACAAGAAATATACCTCAACATCATAAAGGCCATATATGACAAACCCACAGCCAATGTCATTCTCAATGGTGAAAAGCTGAAAGCACTCCCATTA